AAACCTGAGCTTTAAAATATGGAACTAAATAAAGTAATGCCAATGTTTTAGCTCCTGATGTTACAATTATTTATCTAGGTAAAAGCCAAGAAGGAACTGCCTAACACTTTGGATGAAAAATGTCAGCTAAAAAGGACTGGCTTAAATAATAAAATGAATTTGAGGTGTGTGGGTGTGCATGAGGGTGCATCCATGTAGATGTGAGCACTAATGACTGCTTTTAGAGGTTGGGAAGAGGTAAACAAGGTATCTCAAGGGGGTGAGTCTACTTTAGGAGGACAAGATGCCATCTGTATTTATTGTCCTCTTACAAAAACTAGTGTCAGTATTTCTTCTAAGCCCTTTTGCCTATCTAATCAGACCTTTCTGCAATCGAATTTTAACATCCTTCTTTCAAGGTTTTCAAATCCAATGAATTAGGCTAATACAATTGGCTGTGGTGCTTGCAAAGGTGCCTGTGGAAATTCTCATTTACTTCCACCTGTCTTTTGCTCAGTACAGAACAAAAATAGAAAACAGTTTTCTCTTTTATATTTTGAATATTACTTTAATGCTGTAGTTTAAAAAACCACTTGATGACTGCAGAATCTGTGTAGGTGTGAACTCCAAGATTCTTGACATTAAATAATTCCAAAGAATGTGGTATCGAAAGTTTGAGTGTGATAATTTAAAAAATGAAATTTAGATGCAGAGCCTTTGGATATGCAATTTACTCTGAAGTGACCAAGCACAATTTATGTTAATGTATCATATTCTAGACTTCCCCATACAGCTACAGGGTGAGTAATACATCTATGCTTTGGAAATTATTATAGTTATGAATTTATCATTGTCCAATGGCAAAGTGAACTTGCCCAGTTGTGAAAAAATGCCCTGCAGGAATTTACAAAGTAAGTCATTACTTTAAGGCCACATTTGTTAGTAAAATATCTGAAAGTCCAAAATTTGCACTGAGTAGGATAGACTAATGAATAAAATGAAAGACTAATGAATGAAAGAAAGCTGCTTTATTTCTTTGTGTCTCACTTTGCCTTGACATTTTTTGTTGTGATTCCTGTTGTCTTGTACCATATTGGCTTTAGGGTGATACTGACAGTATTAACTCCAGCTTGAATAAAACCTTTTCTCCTGAAATCTTTGGCACAGTCGAATTGACTAAACTGGATGTTTAAAATAGGAAAAAGAAAAAAAAAAAAAGAGCATACCAGAAATGAACATGTCATTAATATAAGGGAATAATATTGTTCATGACTAAATTAGTTTTTTCTATACTCTACAGGTCCAAGAACCTTATCAACAAAGCCTAGGGGAAAAGTGATCTTGTTTCCATTTCTCAGTTACAGCTTTCTGCCTGTCTCCAATGACTTCCTAGATTTTCCAGCCTCTTTATATTCAAGGTTTACGGAGCTCAAGTTTTCTTTCAGTTGGCTTTCTTTGAAATCCTGTTTTCAGTCTGAGCACATACTTGTTGGCCAGGTGACTAAAACGGTCACTTCTCTCACTAGCTGCTGCTGCCTCAGTGACTAAAGCTGGATTTTAAATTGGCTGATTCAAGAGTAGGGAGTTTTGTTAAAGGAACCCAAGTGTCTAGAGTGAAATGACTGAAGGTAGCTGTCAAGGCTTGACAACTGGAGAGCTGAAGTCTCAGGTTCAAGTGCAGGGACCGGAAACTGAAATCAAGGCAGCATCAAGAACCAGAAATTTGAATTTAAAATCAGAAGAAGTAGATAAAATAAAGGAGAATGGTTCATATGGGATAGAATTAGTTTGTTTTATGAACCTAAGTATGAATGTGTGTGTGTGTGTGCGTGTGTGTGTGTGTATATATGCTGTGTATATATGTGTGTGTATATATTTGGCTGAATGGCTTTAAGATTCAGGAGAAATGACCTCACTTTTCAGGTAAAATGATGTCTACCCACCTTTTTCTTGTTTATTCTACTTCTTATTTCTTGTTAAATAAGTGATGCTAATATAATAAAGGGATATTCACCTTTATAGATAATGTAATAGCATTTGCTAAATAGAGCTTGACAAATGCTTATTTTCACCTGCTGTGCCACCATCCTCTTTGCTGGTAAATGGCAGTAGGCTAATATTACCACTACTAAGTATATTGAGACTTGGAAACTTGACCTTCTCTCCAGCAATTCATTTCATTACAGAGAACATTGAGGCTTTTATTTTGTTTCCTCAGAGGTTGATAGAAGAATACTAATATACTCTGAAGATAGAAAGAGAAGTCTGGCTTTCAAAAGCCTTTTTGGATAGTAATGAAAGGAGTGGACATTTAGACCACTATCTAAACAAGCCCTTAGATTACTTTTATGTTCCAAAGTTGAGTGTTATGTCATCCTTGGACTGACTTATAGTTCAGAGTGAGGGGTAGTGTTGGCTAATAGAGCCACCTCCAAAGGTATCAGTAGCTTTTCTTTCCTGGGCAATGACCCTATTATTTCAAGGGATTTCTTTTAGTGCACGACACCCCCCCCAACCCCAACTCCCCGGTTGGATGTTATAGAATGATCAAGTGGAGATCAATACCCTGTTGGATACTAAGGAACAGTCATGAGTCCCGATTACTTGCAGCTAATACAACACTTGGTGAAATTTTGACAACATTTTAGATTTTTCTGTGAAGTTGCAGGCAAATTCTAGAGCCTTCTTGACAATTTTCTGTGACATAATAACTTTTGGCTTTGGGAGAAGGCTTGCAATGTATTCTGTGGCTGAAGAAGGTGGAGCCTTTCAGTGAAGAAAATCTTGTGAAAACAATAGTCCCTAGTTGATGTGGAGGAAGGTAAAGATGGCAAGATTTCCAACTAAATGAAGGCCTTCTGCCTAAAATGAAGGAGTCTCTTTTCACTATAATTTGTTGATATAGATAATATTGAAGTGTTAAAATATTAAAATAATTTCATTAAGGCTATGGCTTGGTTTTTAAGCAATATATTACTTGTGAAATGCATTTGTATTCCTAGTAAAGGACTCTTGTATTCAATAAATTGTTTTCCTAGCAAAGGGAGTAAAACAGAAATTCCTCCATTTAATTTTGCTAGGCATCCACATTTCCAGCAATTTCTGAATTGGTTTCCCCTGCTATGAGTAACTGACAACCTGTGATTTATGGATTTGGAATAATTGAATTTCTTGGCTGTCATACACTTTGAGTAAGAAATATTACATATGTTTCCAGAAAAAATGACTAAAAGAAGAAAAGAGTGAAGTGATGCCAACTTCTGACATTTTATTTGGAAACAGTGCTCTAACTGAATAATACTTAAGATGCTCCTCTAAGTTTCTGAAATATGTTCGCTAACTAATCTTTGAAAATGTAGTTTGGGACATAAGGTTTTAAAATACACCATTTTTGAACTAAGTCAAATAATAAAGTGGAAGACCATATATTTATTATTCTCACATCCCCAAGCACAAGAAATGCAGGATATCCTTTGACACATGTAATAGGTAGAGTAAAATTCTTCAAAAATAGGGGTTATGCAACATCTCATTTTGCTTGTCAAACATACAATATTTAGCAACTTAGTGGAATTGTTCTAAGCAGAACTTTTTAAATGTGAAATATCTAAAACAATTTTATACTTGATTATGGGTTGTGCACATTTGCTAATTTTTACAAGTTGTGCTCAGTTTATGGATTTCTTTCTTTTCTTTTTTTTTTTTTTTTTTTAACAGGAAACGACTCTGTCACCAGGCTGGAGTGCAGTGGTGCGATCTTGGGCTCACTGCAACCTCCGCCTCCCGGGTTCAAGTGATTCTCCTGCTCAGCCTCCCAAGTAGGGGGGCTGCAGGCGCGTGCCACCATGCCCAGCTAATTTTTGTATTTTTAGTAGAGACGGGGTTTCACCATGTTGGCCAGGATGATCTCAATTTCTTGACCTCGTGATCCGCTCGCCTCGGCCTCCCAAAGTGCTGAGATTACAGGCGTGAACCACCGCACCCGGCCCAGTTCATGGATTTATAATTGGTGCATCACCTTTCAAATTCCATGGAGTGTTTACTGACTCTTTTCATATTTTCAATTGTAATGACAGTTGGTTAATTGTGCAAAAACTTGTACAAGGACTGAAGGAAATGGGAAGTTTCTATATGCTTTTGACTAGCGTTATCCAATGGATCTTTCTGAAATGATGGGAATCTTCTGTAACTGTTGCCCATATATATCTATTTGACACTTGGAATATGGCTAGTTTGATGGAGAAACTGAAAAACAAAAATATTCTTTTTGTTTTAATTAATTGATATTTAGAATTAAATAGTCACATGTGGAGAGTAGCTACCATATTAGACAGTGTAGGTAGACCTTAGAACAGTGAGTTTATGACCTTGAGCAATTCAAGGCTTCCCTTATGGGTGGCATTAAAATTGGCTGCTCTGGATTATGTTCAAAGGATTTCCTCAGTGGTTCTTAACTGGGTAATATCTCCCTACCAAAGAAACAGGTAAGCATTTGTTAGGACATTTTTGGTTATTAAAATGATTAGAGTGTCCTCCTGGGATTTAGTGGGAAGTGACAAAAGATGCTCAATGGCCTGAAATGTGTGGGACAGTCTGCATAATAAGTTATTATCCAGCCCAAATGCCAGTAGCAACCAATTTGACAAACTCAAGTAGGCCATCAGGGTTCTCTAAATATTGTGGTTTAATTTGTGACATCACATGCAATCTCTGTCCTACCATAGTAAATTCTGTCTCATATGATCTGTGTCTTATTTTCTCATGCCCTTAGGGACTTCACATTCTTATTATAATCATTTTGTTTGATGTCTTCAACCAGTCTCTCTCTATACTTGAACATATTCTAACTTTTGTATCTCAACTAATATTCTTATTTAATTCTATACCCTTCATCTGTGACTATCTCTTTCCCATCATTCACAGCAGGCTATCCCTTGCCACTCTCACAATAGCACATTTATTCATGTAGCTATTGGGGAAGCATTTCTGTATTATAATGAAAAGAAAGCCAACACCATATGTAGTTTCAAAGCACATCATTTTATTATAGACATGTCAGTAGAGTTGTCATATCATGTTCCATTTCCAAACCATCGTGTGTATGTATATATACATATACATATGCACATATGTGAATATATATACACACATACACATACATGTTTAAAATTTCCAAAGAGAGCCCAATTGTATTCTGTTATGCTTATGATACCTCTCCCTATTTGATATGGTCCAAAGCATACCACCACACCAGTTTCACATATTTTTTCTAATTTAGTATCACCTTGCTTTCTTCCAAGGGTAGGCTCATACTAAAACTATAAGGTAGTCACTTAAAACATTCCAGCATGTGGTTCAATGTATTGTCCAAATTAAATTTTCAAGCACTTAAACAATATCTTTCTAACATCCCCCACTTATCTAAAAAAGAATCACTGCACATCCCAAGTAAATCATTCTAAACTCAACTCTGAAAACACTAGGTAGAAATGATCATATTTAAAAATATATCTATACTTGGTTAAACATACACTGTAAACTATTTGAATAATTGTGATGATTGCATCTCTTTTTAACTATACATCAAAGCAGTGATATGCCTTCTTTTGCCCTTTAATGTGTTATGTTATAAATCAGTTCAAAAGACATTACAACATTTTTCTGATGTATTATAATTTTGTATTGTACAAACATGTTTATAGAGAAATGCTACAGAAAATTAGAGTCAGTGTTTATTCTTGCAGTACAAAACTACATTCTTGCGTGAATTCAGTAGGACCATACACACACAAACATGTTCATGATGTAATTTAGATTTTTATTGGCAAAGATCATGCCTGTTTGTGGCACTGAATGAACAGTTATGATGTTGATTCACTATGTGAGGTTGCATTTATGGACAGCTTCTGTAATATACTAGGCAATGAAGTTATCCAAAGGCATTGGGAGACTTCAAAAACTACACCAAAAAAGCAGAGTCCCGTTATTTCTGTTGAATAGATGACAGCCAGAATTTTTAGTGAGCTGATTTACATAGGTTACATGATGATCATGTTGCTATAAAATAAAAGACCTTCAAATTTTCATTAACTTGTATCATTATTACTGTGTTAGCACAATTAAAACTCATGTTTTGTTTATAAATCATATTCTCATACTGGGTACTAAATATTTTAATTTACCTATGGTTCAATAAGTAACTCATAAAAAATGACTTGAAAATTGACTAGATTTGGGGAGAAAGAAAAGTATACAATATAGTGAGAGTTATGTACTTAAAAATAATAGATTTCTTTGCCTGTTGCCACAGGTTATATTCTCATAAATATATTCAGATATATGTTGTTTTTTCACGTATATGTGTTGTTCTTGTTTGCTATTTTAACATTCCATTATTACAGGAAAGGAATGAACATAGCTATATAAATATTAGCCTATTTTTTTACTTTTTCCACAAAGAATTATTTCAGGATCTTTGGATATACGCTTTCTTATATGTGGACTGCCTATATTATTTCATGAAAATTGTAAAACAAAACGCCTAAATTAAATTATAGCAAAGGTAATTATAACTTCATTGTTGGGGGGTTACATCATCTGCCCTTTTGTATCATTTAATTGGACTGCAAGGTGTTTGAAATATCAATACCATCAACAATTTTAAGTCATGATGTCTTTATAAATATGGAAGTATGTCATTAAAATCATGTTAATTTATAAATTAATTTTAATTGCTATACATAAGTACTATAATCATAGTGAAACAGTAAAATAAGTAATCTATCTATATACTACACTATTCAGATCACTCATCTTCATAAGTATCAGCCACAATGATATTTACACAAAACAAACCTAATAAAAAGAAGAAAAATGGGCAAGTTTAGTAGAAATTAAACATGTGATTTTGTGGGCATAGAAGAGCCTTGAGCAATTGCCTTCTCATTTCTATTGGAGTAGAATCTTAATAATACCCCCACAGCATCACAATTGCTTTCCTAATACCTATTTACATTCATGTATGCTATAATATATGCTGTATACATGTTGTATATTTACAGTATATATACACACATTCACACACATCCTTTATTCTTAGGCTCATTCATGAACATGCAGATCAATCTGCACAGTATGATCAAAACATGTTTATTTTCTTAAATGATATTCACATATAACTTTTCACTCTTTGTGCAAAAATACCATATAGATTAGTATTCTCTCTCTCTAAAAAGTCTCTTTTTTATGCTTGAGGTTTTTCGTCCTTTACAAATAAATTATGAAATATATTTCATTAACAAGTTGAAAATAATTACAATGTTTTTATAACAAGGCATTACTGAGGTTTTGAATTGTGACATCCTTGAAGCCATCTGTCTTTCAAAACAAAGACATCAGTAAGTTATTTTTATTTCTTGATATTTGCACTTTTCAATTACTCATATGAAATATGTCATTACAAATCTAATAATCATGCTAGTCAAATAGTGTTTGTATAGAATATGCATTTTATTTGTTTTATTATTTCTTTTTCCTGAAAAGGAAACAATCTGGAAAGCCTCTTGAAATTATTGTATTAGAATGTTTCTGGAAAGTTTTTTACCCCATGAAAAAGGGTGGAGAAACCAGTGAGGCAATATATTTTTTAGGAAGAATAATTTTAGTGGATGCTCAGGAGAAATAAATGCAAATGCAAAAACTGTTTTATTTTCTAGTCCTTTGGTGTCTCATTGCCTCATGAAAATCCTAAAAAGTGTTCAATTCTTTAAAACATTGATTATATTCTTCCATTAAATATCAGCTGTGGTCCTCCATTGCTCATGTTGTCTGTCATTTCCTGTTAGAAAAATGACATGATTAATTAAAATTGGCTTTTGGAATAAGACATTGTTTTGGTTAATGAGTTTGCAAAACAGAAATTTCAATCCATTGAAAAACTTGCTAAGTTTTGGGGAAAGACAAGGATATTGCTGTTATATTTGAGGAAATAAAATTTCATGGCATCTTGGAGCACATGAAAATGCTGAAGTAATAGTCGGTTAGACCAAAATATTCTATCCACAACAACGGTCCATTCTCTCCCCACTTTCCTGAGTTTCCTCTTTCTTTCTTCAACTAAATTTTGGAAAGACCTTGCCTAGAAAGAAGAAGATGGTTAAATGAGCAAGTTTTTCTAACGCATAGACTCTGCTGAGCCTGTCAACAAAGTGCCAATGCATTCTAGAGGTGACTTTATTCTATAGGAAAATGCGTGGCCTTTTGCTAAGAACAGAAAAAGGCCTACAAGGGAATCATTGCTCATTTGTAACTATGGATCACTAAAAAATCATAGTAGGAAAGATTGTTTTTCATGACACCATCCCTCTTCCAGTAAGAAGTAATAACAGCGAAGTCTCTTAACATGTTTTTAATGGATCAGTTACTAAAAAGTTAATAAGTAAAACTATATAGAAAAGCACTGAAAATACAGATGCAAAGGACAAACTAGTGTTAAAAGTTTCACTTTCAATGATATGAAATAACATTATGAAAAATTGTGATGCTTTTAATTCATATGTTTTATTAAATATTAAACCCTTCCCAATACAATAAAAAGTGATGGGATGTGAAGCCCATTCATATTTTAATGGTTAGAGCACCATACTAAAAATATGTTGATAAAATTATCTAAAAATAGATTGGCAGCATCTTTCCATGCTTGAACAAGCCTATTTGCAAGAGAGCAGTAAAAAAAATATATATATATACACACACACACACACACACACACACACACACATATATATATATTTTCTCAATTTATTTCTATCTATTTCTATCTAGCTCTGTTTGGAGAATCTGCTAGATATGTACATGGTGAAACTCTCCTAGAGATGCATGTGATGAAAAATCTGAAAATATATTAGGGTTATTGTGCTGGAGCTAAGTTCATAGCTCAGAAATCTGATTTGAGGCTTCATTGAGGAACTCACCATTGATGGCAAAATAAGTAGAATCACCCCCCACCCCCAATGATCTTCAACAAAATTTACTTTTCCCCTTTTACCTACTAAGAGAAAAATCAAATTTCTAGTAGATTTACATAAACCCATTCGGTGCCTTTTCTCCTTCTACAAGGACTTTGCACTCAAAAACTGCTTAGAAACGATAAAAAGTTAATCCATTATATTAACCTTCAATTGCAGAATTTAGTAAAACAATTTTGAAAAATTTTACAAAAAAAGAATTTTCTTAACTGAATTCACTCTGCCATGAACACAGCAAAATCACTGATCGGAAAGAAGAGTGAAAATTATTTTTAAAATGAGTGAGTCTCCAGTTTGCAAACAAATTTGCAAATAGGCATGCTTAATTTAATAGGAAGATTGTAGTTTAAATTTGGGCTGGACCAATGTGACTATTTGCAAATGGGCTTTCTGCAAATGGGCCATAGTATCCATATGACTTTCTGTATGTCCAGTTACTTTGTTTGAGCAAACCAAGAAACATTACTATTTATTTTTAACAATTTGAAATATGGGAACTAAATTTAAAATTTATCACATAAGATAATTTTACTAGAAGAGTCTTTTCATACTGAAATTTTACTGTATTAGTGTCCAACTTTGGCCATCTTCTCATGCAATTTTAGCATGAGGGAAATACACAGTTTGTCTTTATCCAGACATATCTATTATTAAAAACAAAACTCTGGCCCATGAATGATTATACTGAGTCAGTATCATGAAGTAGCAGACAATAAAAGGAGTCGTGAATCATCCAAGCAGAAATGTGTTTGGATGCTTATAGGCGGGCTGAGTATTTTAAATACTCAACCAACTTTCAAGCTGCAAGACTCGGCCATGTAGGTTTATGTCAGCTCTGCAAAGTAAGCGCTTATGAAAGCGATACTTTGAGAAACAACATTAAACAACATCAGTTCAGACTGATCTGTTGACATCATGACTTTCTGGAAGGGGGTAATGCTTTCTGCAGTGACATTACAACATGGTAACTCCCTAGAAGTCAGCGTACCTTGTAGGTAACTCTGGTGTCGGGGGCACCACCGGGCAGCTGGGCAAGTCGGTTATTTCAATAGCCCTCAATCTCTAATGTAAATATAACAATCATACAATAAATATTGCACAAATATATACAGAAAACTAAATCAGACTAGTATAAAAATAAAGCACAAAAGAGCCACTATTCATATATACATATAAAATGACCATCTATTTTTAACAATCATTTCTTTAAATTACTGGAGTCTTCCTATGTATATTATTAATTCTTTAATGAAGGACATGCGTAGCTCTGCTTAAAACTGCTTTCTTGAGTCAATTTGAGAACAGTTGCTCCCCTTATTTGAATGTATAGATTGTACACAAAATGGAAACACTACAGAATAAATATTTTTCCTTCAAAACATTATAAAGAAATGTGCAGTAAGCCTTGCTGTTATTACTTCTGCTCTGTGCTTATGCAATTTTATTTCCATGACATGAAGCAAAATATAATGTGGCCATTACCTTAGTGAGTTTATTTTACAAGTGTTTCCTCTTTTCTCTACTAGATCCAGTAGCAGGAACTGAATTAAGGAATATGTGCAAAATGTAATAGAAACACAGACATCATACTATACCATTTGTCCTTTTATACAATTAATTTAACTTCCTATTTATATGGGTTTCATGAAACAATTATGCAAGGACAACTGCTTAAAATACAGGCAAAGCTATCCACATATGCATAAGTTTAGATGAGAATTAAATGAAGCTTTATAGGGACTGTAATATCTGCACTGATAGGCCAGGCGTTTTGTCACCTTATTAAAAAGCCCCTTTATACTTGAAGATCAAATTTACATAATCAAATGCATCTCCTTACAAGAACAAGGGAAGAGCTAGAAAAGGGAATTCATGCAATTTCTAAAACTGGCATTATTGAGTGGAGAGTGTATTTAGTATCTGTGCTTTTCCTCAGTATAATACATAAAAATCAATATTTATAAAGCATTCAATATTTTATGAAATACTATTTTAGGCACTATGTTTTTGAATAGACAGATAGACTACAAACTTTTGTCGAAAATAGGTGTACCCATGAATTGCAGAGAAAAAAATATATATAAAATTTCTATTCTTAACCCAATAGAGCCAAATGTGTAAAATCTGATTCCTCAAATTGTGATCTAAAGTTTCAAGTTGATTCACCCAGAGTGGACTTCAGTCTTCATCATGTGCTAGCAGTGAGAGGAAAAGGTACGAAACTCACTTTCTCAGCCATTTCATGAGAGTGATGCAGGGAATGCTCCCTTTCTGAGAACATCCTCCTCTGTTCATAACTGGCTAGTCGACAAGTGAGCCAGGAAGAGAGCGTGCAACCCCCGATCCCAATGCACGCGAGAGACATGGAGGCAACGTGCAGAGGGTATAGGGAGGAAGTTTTCTTTGTGACTGCCCGGAGGAACTGAAAATTCAGGATGCCCCCAATGAGTCCACAGATACAGCAGGCTGAAAAGAGGATCATCTGATAAAAAAAAAAAAAAAGAAAAGAAAGAAAGGGAGCGTTAAAGTTGAAAAGTCAAACCTGACCAGAACACACTTGCCCTGTTGGGCTGCATGTCAAGGATGACTAACCTACAATAAAGAAGAAAAAGTGGTTTCGGTGCTTCACAGAGGACAGGAGATTTTTTTTTTTTTAAGCCAAGTTTCTATTCACTCTGACTCACTGTAGACAGAGAGAGTATACCACAGTGTTTCAGAAATTGATAGCTGACGATATTAAAGCCAAGAATATAGCTTATGAAAACCCTGAAGCAAACAAAATTTATCTTCTAGGTAGATTCAGATTTAAATATTTATTTAACATCTACTGTGTGCTACTATGCTAGAAACTTTAACAGATATCATCTCAATTAACACTCCCAGCAAGCCTCTGAGACAGTAACATGTGTTTTAGAAACATGAATGGTAAATAGCTAACGCTAAGTTTAGGCACCAAACCGAGATTTTTCTGATTCCAAATCTAATTTCACTGTGTCAATCCTTCAAAAATATCTCAATAGCTTCTCTTTGGATTGTCATTAGTTCCACCTAACTTCAAATCTTTATACCTTCCTACCTATGTGAGCTTAGGAAACTTAGTTAAATCTCTTTTTTTAAAAAAAAGTTCACTCATATTTCATTGTGCATGTATTTCCTAAACAACTACGTTAGGGACTCCTATGAACTGGCCCCTATATATTACAAATATTTTATTACTTTGTGGCACTATTGTTGAAGAATATACAATCGGTGTTCCAAAAATACTGTTTGTTTGTTTGTTTTAGAGAAACAGATGATGTAGCTTTGCTTTTGGTCCTACTATTGGTTGGATCTCAGTGTCTATTAATAGAGCTAGGAGGGTTAATCAACAACTATCATAGGATCCCTAGCAGAATCAAGAATAATGCTTTCTGAGACGTACATATTTTGTGAATATTTAATAAACTTAAATTAACTAGTCAAATAACTTTAATAATTATATTTTCTTTTTGCATCTGGTCTAAATTCTTCTATGGGCTTTCATGATACTTTATAGTATGATACTAATTGAATTATGCAATCTAATTTCCATTCTTCTCTGGAACACAGTCTTATTCCAGTCACCTCTCTTGTCCTTCAATATAAATTACTTATTCCGACATCAGTGATATTTTTCATTTCCTGGAAATAATTTTGCTTCTTCCTTAGACTCCTGGATGAAAGGCACAAATTAAGTCCTAACTTGGACTTTATTGATCTTCTCCTTTGCTATAATTCTCCAAGTCAAACAGCTTTGTAACTCGCTTTAACATTTAATTTTACTTTATCAGGTATTATTTTTCTTTCTTTTCTTTTCTTTTCTTTTTTTTTTTTTTTTTGAGATGGATTCTTGCTCTGTCTGCAGTGGCGCAGTCTCGGCTCACTGCAAGCTCCGCCTCCCGGGTTCTAGCCATTCTCCAGCCTCAGCCTCCCGAGTAGTAGCTGGGACCACAAGCGCCCGCCACCATGCCCGGCTAATGTTTTGTAATTTTAGTAGAGACGAGATTTCACCGTGTTAGCCAGGATGGTCTCAGTCTCCTGACCTCGTGATCCGCCCGCCTTGGCCTCCCAAAGTGCTGGGATTACAGGCGTGAGCCACTGCACCCGGCCTTATCAGGTATTATTTTTCATTGACAGTTGAGTTTACTCTGCACTTATTAAGCACCTAGCATCTGTTAGTCCCTGAGTCAGCAGCTGCTGGCATTACAATCAATCATTCATAATTCTTCCTCTTGAGAATAGTTAAATCTTGTGAAAGAGAAGATCCAGAATTTTAACATGGCATGACAAATATTAAGAAAGGGATATATGGATTGCCCTAGGAGTAGGGAGGAGAAGAATTTAGCCCAGCCAAGATTTTTGGAGAAGGCTTTCTTGAGAATATGTCATGTCAGTAACTACAGTAGTTAATTTCATTTCTTCAACTTAATTCAACATTCCTTATTGCATCTGTATCATCAGAGCTAAAAATCCAATAATGAATAAAATCTTTTTATACTTGATTAAATATAATACTGAAGATCCATTACCAATAATAAAATCATCCTACTAAGTATAAACTTGTAGTTCATGATGCCTACTAGAATTAACCAATTATATTTTATTTTAAAGTAGGTTTGGATGTCATGCTGTTCTTTGGGGATATATTTTGGTGTTTACTCATTCTCTGAAAATATGGAAAGATATTATAATCAAGCTTCAAATAATTAATTATTGTTACAGAGAAAGTAGACAATACCTTTAGTTTTCTATCACATGAAAGCCCATATCTTTCCTGATGTCATTCTGATTAATTCTTTAAAGGCATGACACCTCATTAACATGTATTAACAAAGCAATCTTATCCAGGAATTAAAATGTTAAAATCTGTAACCATATACTATTTTCAAATTTCACCAGGTTGGAGACTCTAGACTGCAGATATATTTTGAGTGAAAATTTTTTTTAAAATTTCATTAAAATGTAGAACATCTTGGTAGTTAAATGCCATCAATGGGGACCTCAGAAAGTACACAGGATAATGTACCTTTTAATAGTAGATACAGCTACCACCTGAATGGTAGTTTCTTAAAAAAATCAGATTTCATTATTTTTTTTTCTTTGTAACTTATAAGAGAAAGACAGAAAAGTGACACTATTGCCTTTGTATAAAACAACAACAACAACAACAAAAAGCCTCTTCCCTCCTTTTTTATTTTTCCCTTCCCTCCCTCCTCTTTCTTTCTCTCTCTCTCTTTTCTCTTTCTTTTCCTTTTTTGTCTTGTTTCCTTGTTTGTTGACTTGCTTTCTCCCAAGGAGTTGTTCCTACATAGTCATAAAGAGTCTTGGTAGAGGAAGAGCATAAGAAGAATGAAGGCCATGTCTAAAGAATGATGGGAGAATCATAAATGCAAATTACAAGCCTGAAAAAATACATTTTTTTCTGAAGGTTTCATTTTTCCCTTTATGTAATTTTTAAAAATCAAATATAAAATTGCTATCTAAAGCAATGAGGGCTTTAGCCTTTTTGTCATAATAGATGTTCTCACAAAGAAAGGTGTGATTAGAAAAAGGGGTCAAATAAAAATAACTGCAATGCTTCCAATTGCCTGATTGCTCACATAACTGGCCTCCCCCTGGAAAACTCTTGTTAGGCTCAAAGGCCACTTCCTAGGGTCCCTGTGTAGTATTAATTTTGCTAATTTGTAAGTGTCTATGTTCTTTCCCATAATACTTGGTAAAATAAACCACACTTTTTCCTTATTTCCAAACTCTCATAAAAAATCATGAAAGGCAATGTGGAATCCACACTTCAGCATGCAGTGTGTCTCATCCAGCCAATATCAGAGTTAACTGGGAGTGTGTTCCATACCCCAGAAACCCACTATAGTACCAGAAAACATCTGAAAACACTTATGTGTGCATTCACAGTAATAAAAGAAAATAAAATAAATCTCTGAGAATTAACTGTAACCATAGCAACACAGCTGTCTTGCTGCTTCGCAAAACTTGCTTCACAGTCAAAGAAAGCCAATAATCCTTAGGCCCAGTTCCATATTTAAACGGTTACATTTCTCATGGGCTGAAGCTTTATCTTCTTGAGCTCACTCAAGGATTCAGGCGATTGTCTGGCAGTCTTCAAATTGGAAAACTAGAGACTGCCATCTGCAGCAGTCATTAAAGGTTACATATTCCGGTATTTAAAGAGTTTATTAAAGTGTTTTTATATTGGTGGGCTTTTGTCATGGCTTCTAATAATTTTGATGGTTTTCTTTGAAAACAGAAAAGGCAGGATTTTTTGCCAGTTTTTTTTTTTTTTGTCTTAAACTAGCAATATTCAGTATATGAAAACTGGCTAGTCATCGTTTCTATTTTAGAATTTTACATTTCAAACACCTCAATGCATAATACAAACAAATCAAAAACTTACGACAAGTCCTGATTTTTTTTTGGCGCACAATATTCCACAAATGCCACAAAGAAGAAACTGAAAAGGAAAAGAAGAACAGTTATGCCTTATCCAAAGACACGAGGACCCCTAGATTTTAGCTTTTAGTTCACTCATGATACTTTCTCCAGGGAAGATAGAACATTTTCAATTTCCTTCAAAATCTGGAAAGGATAAGATCTCATTCTAGAATAGTAAAGGATAAAGGTATAAACCCTAATAAAAATTTATTTTTTGCAAGATTGTTAGAGGTAATTGAATCCATTTTACCACCAGGTAAAATTATTAAGTAAATAAATTTAGAGCTTTGTTTTTCTCATTTCCTTTCACTGTCTGATTCCTTTCCACTTTCTTAGGGAGAAAAGTGGTGTGATACATTCATTCATACTTAACAACGAGAAATCAGTAAGTTATACTACAGGAAAGAATCTGCACAAATCAAAAGATAATGCATCAGACAAGGATGATTCTCTATAGAGATACTCTTTGTACCTCTCCAGTTGGTACAGTGACTATTTCCTCATTCTACCCGAAAGACTGTTCTTGTGAATATGTCAGAAGAACACAAAGGGATAAAGCAATTGACAGCATGTAATTTCTTGTAGATAAAACATTGTTGACATAATTGCTTTGCAAAGGCAGTCACATCAGATTATCTACCAAGGAGAGACTATTAGATATTTTGGTGATCATAAAATGATAAATAGTTTAATTTGAATAGAAACAGTTCCATTTGAATGCAAGTTTTCACATACTTCTGACTTGAACTAAACTATGTAAAATATTCATTAATAAGTAAGAAGTCCACTAAAGGACTTCAGATTTGTAAAGAAAATTTTGATTTGCAAAGAGAACTAGTTTTCATTGTTGTTGTTGTTTAATTATCTGAAGTCAGAACTAACAATATAGCTTATTTCACTAAATATTTGACACCTGGATAGATTTGTTTCCAAATACATATCAAAATATGCTAAAGATTATCTGAGATAATATACATGCGAGAAGTACCAAGAAAATTTGTTAAAAAGCAATAAGTAAGGGAAGTTGTTGCAAGGAACCTTTTCCTATAAGGGAGCAAAATGATTATGTGGGCTGTGGTGCAGCAAGAAGGAGTATGGAACACAGAATATATAAGAATTTGTTATATAATTTAGATGACCTTTCATATTAATGGAAATGATTATTTTCCCAATAAATAGAACTAGAATAATGTGTTAACATTCCCTAACATACACCAAAATTAATATAAAATTGAATATTTATACAAAAATGTTTAAATGCCTTGGGAAACAACTAAGTTAAATATTGATATAATTTTAGAGGACCGGGAAGGATTTTCTAAATGTAGCACCAAAGTTTTAACTAAAGTAGAAAGTACTTATTAATAGAAAAAAATTAATTCTGATGGTCAAAAACATAACACTCAAAGGCAAAAAAAATGTTGGGATTATATTCAGAAAGTATATGATAGCTAAATAGTTAACATACTTTAGAAATAGAGCTAACAAAGTATTTTTAGTATTATAAAACCATGAGAAGATAGAAACTCAGAACTTTATAAAACCTGAATACTTGCATAATTTTCAGTAGCCTTAAAAAGCTATTTCAGAGTGACCATTTCTCACCACCCACTGTGTCCTAAGTGTAGATGATCATGTCCTCTTATGGACTCTTTTTGTTACTAATTTCATCTCACATTTTTCAAGGCTGTGCTCAAGAAATTCCAGTTTGGACCAATTCTGTACCTCTCAGTGCTTCAAGCTTCAGATCAAAGCTCAAGCATACTCTTCTCCTTAAGTTTCCCTGACTACCCTGTTTTCATCCTGAAAGTTCATTTATCCAGAACTCAATCGAAAAGAATTTGAAAGCAGTGTAGCTTTATGTTCCTTGCATCTGTTTTGAAATCTATAAACACTGCCATTATTCATTTACAGTAAAGCCAAAGGGGTGGTCAGGAGCATAAGCAGAGTTCTCCATTCAACCATTTGGTTGGAACATCTAGGTGCCAATAAATTTGCTATTTTGTATTGTCTCACTTCAATTGGATGGAGCTAAGAAATGGGAATTCAAGGATTGGGAGACGGAAGGGAGAGTAGTGAAGGAATCAATCAAAATTTTTTCTACTTGCAGCAGAAGAATGTAAATACTCTCCAACTGTCACTTCTGTTAGAGTATCCAGAAATCACATTTCCTAGAGAAAAGCTGTAACCTAAGAAAAAGTGGACACATGAAACAGGAAGCATATGAAATTATGGGATTTATGAGGAGGATCTAAAAGATCTTGGTTGAAATTTAGCCAGCACAGTTTATAGAAAAGAGAAAAAGAGGCCCCCAAAGTAGTAAATTGATATTTTATTTCATTGGCTATCTTTATTTACCCCAAGTCATAATAATGGAAGAGATCTTAAAAGTTGATTTAATTTACCCCTCAAAGCTTACATGTGGGGATGTGGGGAACTAGAGGTCCAGAGAGGTTAGTGACTTGCTCAAGGTAACACATAAAGGTCAGAAATCACACATACAATTTAAGACTTCATTAAGTGTCTAATTAATTTGTTTTTAATAATGTAATGGACCAGACATGGTGGCTCATGCTTGTAATCCCAGCATGTTGGGAGGACAAGGCAGGTGGATCACAAGGTCAGGAATCTGAGACCAGCCTGGCCAATATGGTGAAACCCTATCTCTACTAAAAATACAAAAATTAGCCAGGCGTGGTTGCGGGCGCCTGTCATCCCAGCTACTCTGTCTACCACCAATGAGGGAGAGACAACAGCGTGGGAGGAGACCCTGCACCCTCACCCTGTGATGAAGATGAACAGGTACTCCAGCTGAGGGTGGAGCACTCACACCAAAAAAAAAAAAAAAAAAGTCCAGCACATAAGCACAAGGCAACTATAGCCCACTACTAGAGGAGTGTGAAGACTATTTTGCACCAAAGATAATCACAGCCACAACAACATTTAGTTCCGTACACCAGACTGACTCCACTTCTCACACTAACAGCCTAAAAGTAGATATTAAGATAAAATACAAAATTCTGGGAAAAAAATGACTTTCAAACTTTGCACTGTATATCCAGCCAAACTCTTATTTAAGCAACAGATTATAAGAACGACATGTTCACTTGGCCAAGGGCGTGGTGGTAGGCTGAATTATGGCCCTCCAAATATATCCATCTTCTAACGCCCATAATGCATGAATATTATAGGGTAAAAAAGGCTTTGCCAATGTGATTAAATTAAGTTTCTTGAGATGGGGAGATTATTACAGATTATCCAGGGATTCCTTAAACGTAATCACAAGGGTCATTTAAGAGGGAAGCAAGGTCAAAAGAAGCAGAAGGCTATGTGTTGACAGAAACAAAGAGGCAGGGAGAAGAAATTTGAAGATGTTACACCGTCGGCTTTGAAGAGTGGCAAGGGGGCTATGAGGCAAAGGATGTAGGTGACCTCTGGGTACTGGAGAGGACAAGGAAGCTGATTCTCCCTGGAGCCTCCAGAAGGAATGCAGCCCTAAAGACTAATTTTAGACTTCTGCCCCTCAGAACTGTGAGAAAACGAACTTCCATTGTTTTAAGCCACGAAATTTGCAGAAAGTTGTTAGAGAAGCAACAGGAAACTGATACAGGCTCAAAAACATTATTCCACATAAAACTCTAAAAGAATTACCGGAAGTTGTATTCAGGACAATAAATAGAGAAAGATATGAGACAGGAAAGGAAAGAAATAACAAAAACACAAAATAAAACACAGTAAATGTTTTAAATGGAAAATACATTATTGAAAAAAGTTAATATCTGCTAATACCCCAGGCGATTTTGGCATAAGCTATGATGTGTTGAGCAGGAGTAAAGAAGATGTAAGTAAAATGTTCTAACATTCTTATATTACTTAACTGAATAAAGAGATCCTAACTAGATTTAGATAACAATTAAAAAGTTGAACTTTAAATTTGTGCATTAAATTATAGATCAGAAAACTAAAAATAAAGAGAATTTGTTTTAAAAACAAGATAAAATGACAACAAAGATTAAACCAACAGGTATTAGGAAAGTTAGAAAAAAATTTAAAAAGTGACACTATGCAATAAATTGATGTAAATAATTCTAATAAAGTAAGCAATAAGACTAAATGTGAATGTTTTCAATTTTCTTAGCAAGAGGAAAAATAGAGAACAGAAAAGTACTTTGTTAGAATTTCTCTAAAATGAGTAAAACCCTTTTCTTTCCCTGCTAGTTTGTCTCTCTTCTCTGTCTCCCTCTTTCCTTGTCTCTCTCTCTTTCTCTTACACTGGCCTAGGTACTAGTTAATGAGTTCCATATTAGTATTCTTTTCTGTACAAGAAAGTTTATTTTGGGGAAGAGCGACTAAAAGTAAAAAAGGCAATGGTAGAATTTCCCAGTTTGAATTATGTAATGGAAAATTTCGGAACCATGATTACTGTGGAAGCAGATATAAGTATTAGCTGGCAGGGAGAGCAGGCAAGGTTGAAGGAGAGCAGGCAAGGCTGAACTGATAAGATTATAAACGGTGACGGGCCAATCCTATTTTAACACAGCTTATTAAAAATTTTTCCCACATAATATTTAACTACTTCAGATGAAATAATTTTCACTGAAATTCTCTAGTTATTAGAGGAGATATACTCTTTAGAAAATAGAAACAACACTACTTTTTTTTAACCCACTGAACCACAAATTGAATTTAATACTTTGAAAACCTTTAATGACTTATACAATTTCATAAACATTAGTTCATTTCTTTAACATGCATAGAAAAATCATCAGGAAAACACACAGACAGATATTAAATGTTTAAAAATTGTTTAGAAAGAATCTAGTTCTGGCTAAAAGATGTATTTATCCTGTACCTGGATTAAAAGTTGAAAGACTTATTTTGAGACCACTAGTTCTTGAATATTCTTACTCTACTTCACTCACCTTTTAATTAAGTAATAACTCTGGAAGCTCTTAGAAAGGTTATTTTGTGGTTCAAAACACAAAATGCACATAGAAAGCATTTCATAGTTTTCTTGAT